TATTTCCCAAATGACCAAACATGTTACAAAATTATCCATGATTAGAAGATCCATCCAAAATGCAGGACAGACCAATGAACTCCAATGTACCAGAATAAGAAAAATCTATTGATATTGCTTCAGATTCCATACTGCAAATAACCTTTAGAAAAAACACTTGTTGAGATCCTCTGTACTATCAAAGAAGATTATTGTACAACAATCTGAAAAGGCTATTAAAACAGTCCTCCCTTTTCCAACTCCGTATCTGAGCGAAACTGGATTTTGTTCTACTTCAACTAAAACATATTACACTAAATTGAATTCAGAAGTAGATATGAGAATACAGCTGTTTTCTATTAACTCAGACATGTGAAAGAAATTTGCAAAATTACTAAACAATGCTATTCCTTTCTCACTAAATCTGTTCTAAAAGATATAGTTCTTTTTCCTTTAAAGAACGTTATTTACTTTAACATGCAATGGGTTTATTATTGTTCATTCTAAATGAGCTGATAAATACTTCAAAAATTTTCTCAGTCTTAATCTTAAAACTGAGGAATACTTACAAATATATCAATATATATAACCCATATAAAGTTCTTCAGAGTCCTCAATAATTTTTAAGTATAATGAGGTTCTGAGAACAAAAAGTTCTAGAAATGCTGCCACTGTGAAAATCAAAACCAAAAACTGATTCTTTGAAAAGACCAAAAAAAAAAAAAAAGGATAAACAACTGGCAAGAATGATCAAAAACATTTTATAAGAGAAGGCATAAATAAACTATGTTAAAAATAAAAAAGAAAATATCACCATAGATCCTGAGGACATTAGAAAGACAAGATTATTTCATGAACTTTATGTTAATAAATCTGAAAATTTAGTAAATGCTAAAAAGCACAATTTACCAAAATAGGCAACTCATAAAATATATGTTATAAATTGTCCTGTAACCAATAAAGAAATTGAGTTAGTAAACAAAAGCTGCCTCACAAAGAAAACTCCAGACCTAGACAGCTTTTCTAAAGAAGTACACCAATCATTTAAGAAACGGTAGCTTTATCATACAAATTATTCCAGATAAGAAAAAGTAGGAAAAGTTTCCAGCTCATTTTATAAAACCAACATAACCTCAAAATAAAACCCAGACAAATGCATTATAAGAAGAGAAAATTAAAGGTCAATTACACTCAAGAACAAAGACATAAAAATCTTGATCAAAATTTTAACAAACTGAATACAGCCATTTTTTTAAGAGACCATGCCCAAACCAAACCAAACCAAAGACCATGACCAACTGGGTCATAAAAAAGTAGGTTAATTACAAGAATGCAAGATGGACTGCACATTAAAGAGTAAATCAATGTAAATCACCACATTAACAGATTAAAAAAGAAGAAATTTATGATCATCTCATTAGATGCAATAGAAGTATTTAATAAAATTTAACATTCATTCAAATATAAACTCTTACTTAGCACAACAGAAACAGAAGGGAACTTCCTTAATCTGATAAAAGGCATCTACAAAAAACTACAGCAAGCATCATACTTATTAATGGTCAAACAGTGAAAGCTTTCCCTTTGTGATCAGGAACAAGATAAAGATGTCCTCTATCACCACTTCTATTCGGGAATGTAGTGGAGGTCCTAGCCAGAGAAGTAAGGCAAGAGAAAGAAATAAAAGGTGTAAGGATTGGCAAGAAAGAAACAAAACTCATTATTCACAACTTTGTTCGTGAGTATAGGAAACAGAAGGTACCTACAGAAAAATTGTTAGAAATAAGAGTTGAACAAGACTGAAATTCAGTATCAGTTGCATTTCCGTGTAAATAGCAAATGCAGTAAGAAAATAAATCTTTGTTTAAAAAACAAAGACTCTTAAAATAGCCTCAAAAAATATGAAGTGCCTAGCAATAAGTCCAATGAGAGATGTGCAAATCCTCTGCAGGGAAAATCATAAAACTCCACTGAAAGATATTTGAAGGATTAAATAAACGAAAATATATGCAATGATCACGATTTGACAGACTCAATGTTGTGAAGATATAAATTCTCCCCAAGAGTCAAGATAATCTCAATAAAAATCAAACAGGATTATGTTGGACATGCTGATTTTTAAGCATATATGGAAATGCAAAGGACCAAGATAGCCAAGATATTCTTGAAAAACATAAGAATTTCTCTAACATACATCAAGATTTATAAGACTATGACAAGTGTGAAAAGATAGTGGAATTTATAAAAACAGACCAATGAGACAGAATAGAGACCCACATATATATGGACACTTGATATATGAAATCGGTAGCATGACAAAACAGAGAAAAGTTATCATTTTGTTTTTCCAATAGATAATGCTGGAACAGAAATCTATCCATATGGAAACAACTGAAATTGAACCCATTCCTCATACCATTCACAAAAATAAATTCCACCTAGCTGGTAATCAAGTTCAAAATAATAACCACATGAATTATTTCAGAGTCAAAAAGAAATGTATTGATTATATATTCCTAGTGGGACAGATCTTAAGGACAAACATCTTATTGTTAGTGGCAATCTTGGTATTGTTATACTGAAATTACTTCATATATGTAGTAGTATAAAGTAAATAAACAACCACAATAATGTCATTAAGCCAGCCAGTCCCACTGATCAATCTTAATATTACTAAAAATGGAACAACAGAGAGTTTTAGAATAAGAGAGAAGAGATAATACATAAAATCAAAGCTAAGTAAAAAACCTTTCCAGAGGGAAATAGCACTAATTCAACACTTTATTTCTTTTTCTAAAAAATGTATTTACTAGTTCTGTCCACCAAAAAAAAATACCTAGAAACAATGAAAACCCAGTAATAATGAATGCCCCAAACATCCAAATTGTGGTCAATATCAATTCCCACTGAAAAAGTGCTGCCTGGGGCACCTGGGTGGCTCAATTGGTTAAGTGACTGCCTTCGGCTCAGGTCATGATCCTGGAGTCCCTAGATCGAGTCCCGCATCGGGCTCCCTGCTCAGTTGGGTGTCTGCTTCTCCCTCTGACCCTCCCCCTCTCATGCTCTCTCTCTCATTCTCTCTCTCAAATAAATAAATAAAATCTTTAAAAAAAAAAAAAGAAAGAAAGAAAAAGTGCTGCCTGGGCACCTGGGTGGCTCAGTTGGTTAAGCGACTGCCTTCGGCTCAGGTCATGATCCTGGAGTCCTGGGATCGAGTCCCACCTCGGGCTCCCTGCTCAGCAGGGAGTCTGCTTCTCCCTCTGACCCTCTTACCTCTCCTGCTATCTCTCATTCTCTCTCACTCAAATAAATAAATTAAAAAAAAAGAAAAAGAAAAAAGAAAAAGTGCTGCCTGAAAAAATAGCCAAGGCAGAATAGTTCTGGGGAAGAAACTATAGTCAGCCTGACAGCTCTCTCAAATCCTGAAAGAAAAGAAGCTATACAAGAATACTTGAATCACGTCAGATGGACACAGCAACCAAATGAATAGGCTCTCACTGACCAAAGAGGAAATAATCTGAAGTATCAGAAAGAATGACTGCAATGGACACATTAAAAATATAAAAACGTGTATGTTTAGATGACAATAATAAAAAAAAAAATCACTGGTCACCTTCACAGTTTGCTAGGGGCCAACTTGTTATTCTGAAAACTGGTAAGAGGCTAGAAACCAGCCTTTAATCGTGATTCTCATATAGGGACTCTCTATCTCAGGATAACCAAATACTTGATGAAAGGAAGTTTTTCTTTTTTAAAAGAAGTACAGCTAATAAATACAGAAGGAACTGTAAAATTAGAAATTCATCATTCTGTGATCCCAATATGAAATAACAGATCTGGTCAACAAGCATCAATGACTGCTAAAACCATTAAGTGAAAGGTTGATGGGGAACTCTAATAGATTCATCAGGGTGGTATCAACTGCACCCATCGATCAATCTTTCTTTTCTTCCTTACGTAGACTTCACGCCCAACTTAGGGCTTGAACTCATGATCAAGAGTTGCATGCTCTACCAACTGAGCCAGCCAGTCCCACTGATCAATCTTAATATTACTAAAAATGGAACAACCAAAATGTTCCTCCTGATATGATACAATAGACAATACACAGCACCATTAATGAAATATTCTTTTTTAAGTGGAGTCCAACAGAGGACTGGGATCACAACCTGGGGTCTTGACCTGAGCTGAGATCAAGAGTCAGACACTTAACTGACTGAGCCACCTAGGGGCCCTTCAGTGAAATATTCTTAACACAAAACTGAACCTAACTCTAATCAAGCCTCTCTACCTAATTATCAGTTTATAAGAAATAAGAGATGAAATGGAAGAACATGTTAAAGGACCATGAGGATACAATCAGCCAAATCTGGAATGTAAGAAACCCTACAAAATATATGACCCAGTTTCTTCAACAAATAAATGGAGAATAAAAAAGGTAAACTAATATAGATTCAAAGAGACTTCACACACATACCAACCAATGCAACATGTGGACCTTGTTTGGATTCTGCAGCAAACAATCATTTAAACATTTGGGTATTTTTAAGATAATCAGTGAAAACTGAAGATAGCCTGAGTATAATAAGACATTAAGAAATTTTGGTTAATCTTGTTGGGTGGAATAATGCTGCTTCTCTGCTAGAAATGCATACTGAAGTATTTACCAGGGAAAGCATATGATGCCTGGGATTTGCTTTGAAATACTACACAGTTATTCATAAGTTATATGTACAATTACAAATTAAAATAAATAAATAAGTAGGAAGGTGGGTGAGTATGTGGGTGAATGGATGAATGGATATAACTTCTTCAGGGAGGGAAATAATTCTAGGTGAACTGATTCAAATTAAATATGAAGGCAAAACAATGAAGCTTTTACATCATATAGAATACCCTCATGTTCTCAGAGGGCAGAATTTACTAAACAAAACTTTAAAATCACTAAACAAAAATGTGTTATCCTGTTCATAATTCTATGTAAGATTTTGTCTACTTCACACAATTTTAAAGGTACTTACTGCTGGTAAAAGAGATTGCATATTTTGATTAGAATCTGCTATTGTAGCAAGGTAGACCAAGTTCGTATGCAACATCTGCTGATACCTGTTAAAACAAAACAAATACCAATATTAAAAATAATTTTCTTCCTATCTGCTTAAATACAAATAGCATTCTAATTATTTCTCCAGTTTAATAAAAGATTTATGTTACCTGAATATCAATAGCACTTCAATTTTTTCCTAGTTCCTCTGCAAAATAATTCCAAATAATAGATACATTCAAAGATAATAACACACACAGAGATCATATCATGTGCTAGATACTGCTATAGTTGTTTTATATACCCCTATATGCAGTCAATCGTCAAACCCAGGCTATGAGGTAAAAGTGCTTATTTTCTCCATTTTACAGATGAGGCAACTGAGGTTTAGAAAGGTCAATAACATGTACAATATTTGCACAGCTCAGGAAATGGAATTACTGAGATATGCACTAGCTCTATACATAGTACATGTCTTTTCTAAAAAGAGATCTAGAATGAAGGAATTCAACAAAACTGACATGCTTATTCCCTTCCCCCTGCCATTTTCATATTGCCAAAAACCTCAAACCCAAGTCCAGGCAACAGGCTCTGCTGAAAATGTCAGGAAGGAGGCAGGAATCACACAACTTTTCTTTTACCGGCAGCAGTGACCAACAATTTATGCCTACTGCCCATCTGTTAGGGCTCAGCATATAGAGAAAACAATGAATAGGTGTCTTCACTTACAAATACATATATATATGTATATGTATGTATGTAAAGAAAATAATAGGGCACTATTGAGACATATATGAGACAGAAAATAATAGGGCACTAATACCATTAAGAATTAACTTTATAAAACAAAGCAAATTCTCACTAGTGCAATGAAGTGGTTAAGCATGTTCACTGTGATCTTAGGAATTAGTTTTGCTAACTCTCTGCAAATTGGTAGTGATCCAGTTACTAGTGTTTTAAATCCTCCAAATACAAACTTATAAATCCTATTACCAAATTGTTACACTGTTTCAGAATTTTGTTTACCTAGAAATATTAAATACAAATTAAAATAATGAAAATAAGATATTCGGCTAAATAAAGTCTTCTAACACAGATCCCAGATGAAGTTGTTCTCTACACACCATATGAGGAATCCTAGGAAATCTTCTGCTGTATTATTTTTTTCTATTAGAACTGGTTTTACTACTTTTTTCTTACTGAAGAAAAAAACCCTACTTCTCACTGACCTTCAATTTTCTTCACTAACAAGTTTATGCTTTTTGTTTATTTTTTACAGATTTATTAGAGGTATAACCAATATACAAAGACCCACACATATTTAACTTGTACAATTTGATGAGTTTGGACATATGCAAACACCTGGGACATCATCACCACAATCAAGGTAACAGACATAACCAACACTTCCCAAAGTTTGTTTCCTTTTTTGTTTTTGTAGTTTAAAAACAAGTTTAGGCTCTTAATGCTCCTCCTCACATATTACACTATGTTGCTCAATCAGACATGATAAAATGTTTGTTACAGTGATCCTTAGACAAAAGAAGACGAGGAATTATTATATTGCACTGAATTATCCATAATGCTTAATTACATTGTCAAAATTCTTAAAACCGCACTAACAGGAAACACTAGCTGGAACTATTTTATTATTCTGTAAAGATCTTGAATGGAATTTAGGATACAGGGTTCCAAAATCTTGTCATTTTTTAAAACCAGCCAGCCATTTTTAAAGATTTTATTTATTTATTTGACAGAGAGAGACAGCGAGAGAGGGAACACAAGCAGGGGGAGTGGGAGAGAGAGAAGCAGGCTTCCCGCCGAGCAGGGAACCCGATGCGGGGCTCCATCCCAGGACCCTGGGATCATGACCTGAGCCGAAGGCAGACGCTTAACGACTGAGCCACCCAGGTGCCCCACCAGTCAGCCATTTTTAATTAGAACATATAACCCAGGGGGACACCTGGGTGGCTCATTCAGTTAAGCGTCTGCCTCCGGCTCAGATCGATCGAGGCCCCCACCCAATCACATCGAGCTCCCTGCTCAGTGGTGAGCCTGCTTCGTCCTCAGCCTGTCGCTCCCCCTGCTTGTGGTCTCTTTCTGTCTGACAAATAAACAAATAAAATCTTAAAAATATATATATAACCCATTTCAAAGTCTACTCCTTGAAGTTTTTCTTTTCTTCTCTGAGTATTAATATGGCTTTAATATATTCAGATATGAGGTTTGCTGACCACCCTGCAAAAATAAAAATAACAAACCTTTCTAAGAGACTATGGCTTCCTCATGACCCTTTAAGAAAAAACTGTAGTCATGCTGATTAGTACTTAACAAGTCCACATTAGAATACTGTTAAATCTAATCTGCCACGCTCTCAAGGCCTCATTTGTAAAATAATGGGAGTTAAAGTAGATCTCCAAAGTCCCTTGTGGTTCTAAACGTCGATAAATACAGCAACTTTTATGGAGTACTTTAGTTTTAAGACATTTCCCCAACCTAAATCTTTTTAACTTTTAATTTTTGAAATAATTTTAAACTTAGTTTTAAGAATAGCATGAAGAATTCCCAAATATCTTTCTCCCACACTCCCCAATCGTCGGCATTTCACAACATTTGTCTTACTCCATCTCTAAACACACACACCAATATGTACACACATGCAAGCACACACACACTTTTTTCAAAATCTTTAAGAGTCAGTTACAGACATAATATCCCACTACTCCTAATACTTCAGTGTCAATTTCCTAAAAACAAGGAAATTCCCATATACAACCACAGTACAACAAATATTGATACAGTAATACCATGTAATCCACAAACCCATTCAAATTACTCCAATTGTCCTAATAACCCCAAATCTTTTACCTAATGTAAGCTATGTTATCTAACTTCAGTAGGTTTTCTTTTTTTGTAAACTGCATTATTTTTACAGCATTCATCAAGTACGCTTCCCTAAGGTCATTCAAGACTCAAAGATGAATATTAATGAAAAGGTAGTATATTTAAAAAAAAAAAAAGAAAAGGTAGTATATATTCATATTCTTTTACAAGTTTGTGTATACATCACCTAAACAGCAATAAGCAAACATTCCTGGCTTCAGCTGACTCTACTGAAATGATAATAAAAAGTAGATTCTTCTACAAATATTAAAGAAATATTTTCCTGAGAAACTTTATTCTGTATATACTTTTACTTTTTTAATGTACATGTCTATTACCTCTAAAACAGTCTATATTAACAAAAGAAAACTGAGTATATATGATAAGGACAGATATAAACATATTCAACATTTTACATTTGACGATGGTAACTTCCTAATAAATACTGACAGATATTCCAAACACCCATAATTATTAACCCATTAAATGAGAGGCAGTTCCATGTCCCAAAAATTCCACTAAGAACCACTACATCAATTATCTGGAGTAAGGTCAAATAACCACTATTAAATTTATTGATATAATTAAAAAATGAACCTGAAAAAGTCAGAGCTCATTTTTAACAATAAACCTTGACCAAGAAATTATGAAGATTATATTTATAAGGTAACAGAAATATAATTTACAAAATCAAAGTTATCTTCCTAACTAGAGATTTAAAACTACATTCTTTTACATAATGATTAATACAAATTTTTTTTTGCATGAAAACCACTTATAGGACACTGAAGTAGTCACACTCATGATGAAATACAAAACATAAGGGTTGATTTAAGTAAAAATATAAGTTGATTTAGAAAATACTCAAATCAAACACTACAATAGAACAATAATATATTCTCACACATATGTTATCAGAATTTAAAGGGAAGAGGATCTGTGCATATGAGCTCCACAAGTGATTTACTTTTATTGAGCATAACAGGAGTGTGTGCACATGTATGTAGATAAAGAGAGATAAAGCAATATATACAGAGATGTTACCAGTGAAAATCTTTAGGTGGTGAGAACAGTGTTTGTTATCTTACTTTTACGTTATCTGTGCTTTTTAATTTTCTACAATTCATATACTACTTTCATAAAAATAAAGTTATTTTATATTAAAAAAACACTCTTAGGCAGTTATCACACCTTAAGGAACTATTTAATTAAAATTGACCTATCAATTCCCAGATGGCTGTCATTTATTGATGTTCCTCTTCATTTTCCTTTTCCTTCTCCTAATGCAAGAAACAAGAACATTTAAGGTTGAGAGGAGAAATTTTCTTCTCTTTACTCACAAACCAACACTAACAACTTGAAAAAAAAAAAAAATCTAAAGAGCTCTAAGAATGAAATTAAATCCATCAGGAAAAGTAAAATGTAAGATTCCATCTAAACCAATTTAAACCCCATCTGCACCAAATATGTGAGAAGATGAGGTCTATTCCAATATGCAGAGAAGGGGGAAATGATCATATATACACAAAAAAGCTAAAAATATAAAGAATAAACAGTATAGGGGCGCCTGGGTGGCTCAGTCGTTAAGCGTCTGCCTTCGGCTCAGGTCATGGTCCCAGGGTCCTGGGATCGAGCCCCACATCGGGCTCCCTGCTCCTTGGGTTCCTTTTTCTCTCTCTCTCTCTCTCTGTTTCTTTTGAAGAAATAAACAAAACCTTTAAAAAAAAAAAAAAAAGAATAAACAGTATAAGCTTTTGTTGACTCAAGTTGGAAAGGCTGATTCTAGATCTGAACACATCCTATCCATGCCATGTACCGCTGGGTCCTTTAAGAAACTGAACCAGACCTATGCCACAAAAATCCCTTGGCTCTATCTGGCAGTGTAAAAAGCCATAGATGAAAATAAGTATTCTAATCAGAGCCTGTCAACTTTTATTATCCCATAGCTGATCTGAGGCAGTGATCTCCTGACCACTGATGATTATCCATAGTTAAACTAAGGTAATAGATCAGCTATTTAATTTTTTAAAGAATATTTTGAAATATAAACAGACATGACTCACTGAAGAAACAATATATATAAAAGTAATGGAAATGATCATATAAAATGCAAAATCTACAAATGACTAGAAAATAAAATATCCTAGTACTTAGACCTAAGTTTCTAAATATCATTCTCTAAAAAAAAAAACCAGGGCTTGAAGAAACAGGTAATTCCACACTGGGGCAGGAAAAAGAACAAGATGAGTCTAGAACATTTTGTGGTGCTAGAAAATAAGAAAATGCTCAAAAAATAATGAATACATATCAAAAAGTCAGCTTGAAGGGCTCCAGTGGTCAACATTGGGGACAACTAAAGAAAGAAAATAGAGTAACATTATAACCTAAAGAATACAGTTAAGAATCCATAAATCCGGAGCACCTGGGTGGCTCAGTCGTTAAGCGTCTGCCTTCGGCTCAGATCATGATCCTAGGGTCCTGGAATCGAGCCCCACATCGGGCTCCCTGCTTCGCGGGAAGCCTGCTTCTCCCTCCCCCACTTCCCCTGCTTGTGTTCCCTCTCTCGCTGTGTGTCTCTCTGTCCTATAAATAAACAAATAAAATCTTTAAAAAAAAAAAATCCATAAATCCGTTCAGATATAAATAAATGAGTGAATGGGTGCAGGGAATGAGAAATGGTTTCCTTAGAGTAGGATTTCAAATAAATGTAGAAGGAATGATTGATTTAGTCACCATTTGGCAACCACCACAGTAATAACTGTTTCAGTCAAGAATCATTGGATGATGGATGCTAAAATAAATGCTAAAAAAAAAAAAAAGTACAAGAAGGAACAACATGTGTCTCAAAGTATCTGCCCAACAAGATACATATGAATTAAAAAGAGAAAAATAGTAACTTTACAGTGGAGAAACTGGCAGGCCACACCTCAACTAAGTGATTAAGATTCTCAGTACTGGGACAAATCACTATCATACAGCTAATTGAGAATGCACTGAGAAGGACACACCACCATATTTGTGATGCTCTTGCCAAAAGTGCGTAACATGAATCTAATCAAGGGGAAACACAAATCAAACCTAAAATGAGGGACATTACACAAAATAACTGCTATGTATTCTTCAATAACATCAACAACATGAAAGATAACAGACTGAAGAATGGTTTCAGATCAAA